ACATATTAAGGGATTATCAAAAAAAAAAATTTTATTTAAATATTTTAAATTTTAAAAAAAGTAGTTTATAAGCAAATTTATAGTAATTTTCTAGAAAATTTGTCTAAAATTGTTCTATAGCTTAAGAGATAGTTAGAGGATTTAAATAAATACTCTATAGTTAAAGTATAGATATAGCAGATAGTATAGAATCTTTGGGCAGACTACTTAAATTAGGCATTAAAAGTGTATATGTAGCTTGATATATCTTTATTATAACTAAATATATTTTTAATAAAAAGTTTTTAGCTATAAAAATTACCTTAATACAGTACTATAAAAAAAAAGTTCTTGTATTTTCTCTACCTAATTTTTAAATAGAAAATCTAACAATCAACTTAAACTTAAACTAACTATATTAATCTTATCTAATTTGCTATTATTAAAAACCTATTTGATATTTTAAATTTTCTCTCTATCTATATTATTAACTTTTATTATTATTATTTTTCTATAACAGTACTATATCTAATAATTTTTTTCAAATTGTCTTAGCTAACAACTTTTATATATCAAGCTATCTTTTAAAATACTACTATAATCTGGTTTATATCTTAAGCTATAATCTTTTTAAAAGTTTAAAAGATTTATTTATTAAATTAGTTTGATAAATAAATAGGTTATATCTATTAATTGGTAATCTATAAGTTAACCAAAGAGTAATTATAATAAAATGTAACTCAAGTTGCTTATAGAAATTAAAGAATCTAAACTTTTTTAGTTTCTTAAGCTAGAAGAGTAAAAAAGTTTAGATTCATGCATGCCACATTTGCAAACTTCCAATTTCTATAAATAATTTGAGTCACATTTTACTATGATCACTTTTTGGTTGACTCATAGATTATCAATTAAATTAAAAAAAATATATAATAGTAATATAAAGTATATAACAAAATAGTATTTTTTAAATAAAAAAATCAGGCTGGTTTTGTCTTTTAGAAATATATAAAAGTCTAGATGATAAGTATAATCAGTACAGATTTTGCATACCAATTTCGAATATTATAGCAATCAAATTTGAAAATTATAGCAATAAAATTTGAATATTACAATAATCAAATTTGCAATAAATTCAAATATTCTAGTAATCAAATTTAGACATCTTAGCTTTCAAAGTTATTACTATTGGTTAAAATATCTTTAAAATCATTGTTATTGTCTTTAAGATTGTTAATTGATATATTTTCAAGATTGTTATATTTGTTTTCATTATTATTATAAATATGTGTATACAAGATTCCCCTTATATCAGACTTACTTTTATTTTTTACTAATTATTTTTTTTTTTACTAATTAAATTTTTTGATAGAATAAAGAGACCCAGGTCTTGTATATGCATATTTACGGTATCTCCAAAGTTGCTATTATTAATCAATATATTATTGTTTTTTATTACTATATTCAAAGTCATCATTGCTTTTATTACTATCTTCAAAGTTATCATTGTTGGTTAAAACATCTTCAAGATCACTATAATTATTAAGTATATTATTAATTGAAGCATCTTGAGAATTATTTACTACAAACCTAGTTCATTTGTATAACAGCAAGCAAAATTATCTTACTTTTCCTAGATGAATAGTAAATTTTTGCTTTAAAGTGTGTGTGTAAGTTATCACAAGCAATAACCAATTCTTATTTTTGTTATTTATACAAAAAGAGTCTAGTAGTAGAGAAATAGGGTTTTGGCACATTGCATCCAAATAGGTTTAGGAGGTTATTCTGGATATCAAAAAAATAAACATAGCATAAACTTACTGTAAATATACATAAATACAAGGAAATATATTTGCTTTCTTGAATATTATTTGCTCTATAAACATTTGCTTCCTATTAGAAAAAATAAAACTTTACTTTGATACAAACAAGACTAAAACTTATTTGATTATCATCCTGTATATCATAATTTTTTATATATAATACAATCAAATTGTCTCCTAATAGCATTTTATATAGGTAGCTAAAGAAGAGACAGGAGCATAAGCCCTTTAGAGTGATGCAGATGCCCTTAAGAAAAAAAATATAGCATGAATATGAGCAAGCCCTTTAAAGCAAAGTGAATATGGATACTATATTTTTTTGACCCTATGCTACTCTTTTAATATATACTCATAGTTTATCATAGGCAAAGCATAGCGAAGCCTTTGTGTGAAGTGAAGCAAAGCACAGATAAACAAGTTTTGTAAGCAATACATGGTTTACTATAGGTAAAGCATAGCAGAGCCTTTGTGCAAAATGAAGCAGAGTATATATAAATATACTATAAAGTATATAATATTATAAGGCAAATATATTTACTTCCAGATAAAAAAATTGTAATATAAATATATACATATTGGTTCTGGGAATGTTTTCCGGCACTGCCCATCACTAGCTTATCACTAATTCTTCACTAGCCTGAATTTTTGCAAGCTTTTAACACTGATAAAAATCTCGAATGTAATATTTACTCACATGTTTTCTACAAGCACTATAAATAGAGGAAGTTAATTTTCCATATTCTATACAGGAAACTCAGTTAGGAGATTTCCAATGACTTTACACCCTTCTACTTGATAGCACTCCTTATTACATACTTCTTTGGACCTAAAAATATATGGATATTTATAAAATCCTATACTAGTTTGTTTTTTTGAATAAATATATAACTATAATTATCTAAATAAATTAATTTTTATTTTAAACTTTCTTGAAACTATATATAATCTTTAAAAAAAAATAAGCAGATTACTTGGTAGTATCACTGGTGCATTAGGATGATTGTTCAGAAATCTCTTACCAAGCTGGGGAGATCTAATACCACCTGAGTTATCTGAACCTTCTAAGCCACTAGTATCAGAAGAGGATGAGGTGGTTATAAGACCACTGATGAAGGAGATATATCAAATTCTGAATCTGAATCTGATAACAAGTCTGAACTAAAGAAGAAGACAAAATAATATTTTGAAGAATAAAAGATCCAGCTCTAAAAAAATTAGTAGAAACTAGAAGAATTTTTGACCAAGGTTTATGTAACGAATATCTTGTTATTATTTCAGAAACTTGTCCATATTGAGAAGATCTCTTAGCCATGTTTGAGGATATTAAAGACCAAATTAGTGATGTTTATAGAAGAAAATTAGCTTGATTAGGGGTATTAAAATAAAAATAGTTCTTATTGCTTATATGTATCAGATTACACAAGAAGGATGTTTTGGATATTGAATATAGCATTTTCAAGTAAGATTTTAGATATTATTCACCAGACCAAACAGTTTTATGTCAATATAATAAAATCTTAAATAAAATTGATGAAATGGAACAAAATTGTCATTTGGGCTGAATATATAAATATAGAAAAAAGATTTTTTTAGAAATAAGTGCATATCAGCCACTTTACAGCCATTCACATTTTGCTCTACTGAAAATATGGGCCAAGCCTCAACTAGGAATAATTAACCCACAAAATACAGATGATTGATGTTTTGAAACATGTATAAAAGCTTATCTAGCAAGTAAAGAGACTCATAAACAAGGCCGAAAAGCAAAAAATCTTCATAATATTAGTAGATTACAGCACTTTAATAACATACTAGGCTTTTCCAGTATAGATTTTCTAGCCACATTGTATAATATTGATAAATTCGAAGAAAACAATTCATCTTATTCAATAAATATTTTCTATCTAGCACTACCCAAAAATAACAAAGAGCAAGCAACTAGAAAGATGAATTCACTTCATATATCAGAATATAACTATCAAAGAAAACATATGATGGATTTAATTTTATTTACCGAAGAAGGGTAGGATTATACTTTTATTTTTCAAATGATAATTTAAATAATGTTTCAACTGCCAATTTTGGGCTTCGACTTTTATAAAGTAATTATTTACATCTTTTCTTTATTAGATACTAAAAAGTTCAAGTACTTGTTTGTTCTTAATACTGCAGTCATGTAAAAATAAAACAGAGCACATAAAAATTAAAAAACAAGAATATAATATTTTATATCTCAAAAACATAAGAAGTAGGGGTATATTATATAACAACTTATCAAAAAATCATGCTGGGATGTTTTGTAAACATTTTGTCAAAACGCATCTCATGCATCTCACGATCTGTATGACTTTTATAAGACACGAGTATGGATGTATAAATGTATATATAAATGTTTTACGGGTAAATATACAGTTATATGAAGCTAATATAATATTTGTATTTTTTTATTTTATTTATCTAGTATACTATAAAACTCTTATTTATAAACATTTAGGTTATAAAAGATGTGTTTTGTTGGCTATAGTTTGTGTATGAAAAAAAGTAAAATACATTATTAATTAATATTAAAGATTATAATTAGATGAATACCATATAAACTATAATTTATTAATATTTAATTAGCCAATCATATTTGATAAAGATCATCTAATATGATAGCCAATTAAAAAGAAGCTCTGTTATACTCATGAGAGTGAATCTGGTTTTATTTGTAAATTTTTTTTTTTATTTGGAAGATGCCATAGTTTCATAATAGTCTAGACATTGGTGATGAAGTTATAAATTGCTTAAGGCTAACAACTGTTCATGACAGTCCAGATATTGGCAGTGATAGTTAATCCACTAACTTCGCTGAAGTTCCTCATGACAGTCCAGACATTGGCAGTGAAATCTTCTCTTTGTATCTTTAGATATTTAGGAGATGTCATAGCTTCATAACAGTCCAGACATTGGCAGTGAAGTTATAAGTTAGTGGATATTTAAGTTATCTCTTGGTAGCCTTTTTGCTTAAGAGAAAAATTCTCCAAAAAAACATCAAAATACATTCAGTATTTGGAACCTATAACCAAATAGAGTTGCTTTGCTAAGTGAGATCTGGCAGTGTTAGAGTAATGCAATTACTAATAGATTTTTTTTCTGGCGAGTTTTTTAGATCTAGCAAATAAATGGTACAAAATAAGCGATTTTTTGTTTTTTGTTAGGTGGGTTAATATTTTTTTTTAAGCAATTTTTTTTACCTGGTTATAATTATTTCTTAAAGTAATGTAACGTTTTATCTAACAAAGACTATAAATTGATTTTTTACTTACTATAATTTTTATATTTAGGTACGAATAATAAGTAGTGATAAAAAAACCACCCCAAGACTAATAATAGTAATGCCTCCAAGACCAATGATAGTAATGCCTTCAAGACCAATAATAGTAATGTCCCCATGACTAATGATTCTAATGCCTTCAAGACCAACAAAAGTGATGCTCCAAGACTAATGATAGCAATGCCTCCAAAACTGACAAAAATTGTGATAAGTAAAATTTTGCCTTTACAAATATTTGAAAATTTAAAAGAATATTAATTTTTTTTATTTATTAAATCAGATCATTCAAGCTATAACTTTGATGATGAAAATATTTTTTAATTAGAAATATATATATATAATGATATAAAATGGTTTAAGACATATTAATTATATTGATTCAATTCATGGAGATTGCCCACTAAGAAACTTTTTGATTATAATTAAAATTTGTATATTGTTGTCTCGGCAACAATTTTTATTAAATAAAGAGAGAGGTCCAGTGGGCTATTTTTATGTGGCTATTATCACTATCTATTATTATTTTTGCTATTACATTTACTAAGAATTGTTTTTAAAAGTTCTTGATCATATAATATACATTGATAATAATACAATACAATAATGATCTAACAATCTAGTAACGATTTAATAACAACATAGTGGCTATATAATAGATACATATAGTGATTGTACTCGATCAAAAAAATGTTACCTGGTTAATCGGCAAGTATATCCACGGGTTAACTGAGTGATCGACAGATATACTCAGGTATAAAATTTTATCCATTATACCCAGTTAAGAGCCCACTTAGTTTAGTATTATCACCAAAATCAGGTATGTAAATAGAGCTTAAATTTATTGAATTAATTACCAATATTAAAATGATAGCATTTATATAAGAATAATAATAACAAATTTTTACAATGAAAATTTTTATTTCTTTGAATATCATAATAAAATATTTTCTAAAATAAACACACAACTTTATTCATCTTGTCAAATTATGAAACCAAAAACTGCATTTTAAAATAATAACAATTATGTTTTTAATGTATACAACCCGTGTAAATAAAAGCAAAAAACAGAAATGTGAGGATCAAATTTTAAATGATATTCGCATACAAAAAGAAAATGCTATAAAATCTGAAGTGCTTGAATATATAGTTTATGAAAACTTTATAGTTGTTGATAAAGAAAGCAATATATATAGATCTTGAGATAGTTGTAGATATTTCAGTAATAACATAGATGAAGCTTTTGCAAGTTCATTGTCATTATATATAGCTTAAAATTTTTAAACCTAATATTATATTAATTTAGGTTCAATGCACTTCTTAAAATTCTCCATCAGGAAGTTTTGAAGGTATTATTATATGCTATTATATGTATTATTTAACACTACTCATTAAATAATGCAATTACTCTATATTAAACAACACTATATATTTTATTATTTAACATTTACCATTAAATAACTTACAATGCTGTATTAAACAACAGTAATCATTCAATTATTTAACGATTGTGTTAAATAACAAGTAAATGCTATATTAATATGCTGTTTTACATTAATGTTTTTTAATAATTGCAAACTATATATGAAACAAATAACTACCAAACTAATTAATGCATAATTG